GCTTTGCCTCCATACTCCACCACCCATGATGCCCGCAGCCACAGAAGCAGCTATAGAGACGACCACATCATGATGCATTTTAATTATAGTTTATTCATAACAGGTAATACTACTTAGAAAACAATGCATTTTGTTAACAGTGACCATCTTCTATCTTACAGTGTCTGAAACTCAACAGCCCTCTCATCAAACCGCCACCAAAACACGTCGAGCACTTGATTTCTCAGCTGGTGCACAGCAGGTACAGCAGAGTCTTGACTGGTTTAAAAATCCAGTTTCATCCTGTGAATGACTTCTTAACAACTGTCCAGATGCAACTGTTTTTACCTAGTGGACAGACTTCTTTTTTTGTAACCCTGCACCACTTTCAAATGTATCTTCATTAATAGTTCAATTTCTGACAGTCCTCTGAAGTTGCACTGTAGGTTTCTCATTATATTACCGTTTGGTGCTTTCATCCTTTAGGTGGGACAATGATCTGGGATGTTCCAACAACCACGGCTCAGGAAACAGCTGTCAGACCAACAGAGAAGAGATTAAGAAAGAGAGGAGGCTCAAAAACTTCTACAGGTACTAAGTGAAGTTGTATTTATTGTCAATATTCAACCGGCAATTGAAATTTAAATTTGTCGATCAGTCACTCCACCACTTTGGCCTAGACTGAAATATCTCAGAATCAGAATAAGAAAGATCTCATTGCAAAGTAGTTTTACAAATACGAGGAATTTGCTATGGTGATTGCTAGACATAGACAAACCTGCAGTTGAAATAAATCTATGTAAAAATATACAAATATGGAAAAACAGATGCAAATTGTAGAAGAATAATAGAACTATGTTTAAAGAAATAAAAATGTGGCAGTTATTTAGTATTAGAGTGATAGCGGATATTTGCATGTTCGCTTTGTCCGTGTGAGCATGTGCCCTCAGCTTGTGGGCTATGCACCATATTTAATAAGGTTATTCTTTCAGTAAGTCCACGTTAACTGGCTGAAAGATCTGACAAGTGTTGGTTAAGGTCTTTAGGTCTTCACGGTTAATGTGTAAATTAAGCTAAGCTAATCTTAGCTGGTAGCTAACTGAAACAATGTAACCTAACTAAATACAGTGCAGTTCTACACAGGCATGACAACTACGTCAGTAAGGGTACTGTAGCAACAAGTGGCCCAAAACAAGGAACCCCGCTCCCTCGGGTCACCATCTCCAGGCGCCCTTAGTGCATTATGAATTCAGATACTACTTAGGAAAAAGGGCAACCTCTGATAACAAACTAGATACTGGCCTGACCGTCTGTATTGAATTTCAAGTTCCCTAGTCAAACCCTCCTCCTCTCGCTTAAGATTTCAGAGAGTAGGGCACTGAACATAACCTGAAATGAACAGTTTGCTGGTTATCTGTAATGAGGTGTGTTAATGTAGGCAGTGTTGATGTTAAAGTAAGTAAATACTAACTTACCAGACCAGAAGAGGGGGAAGAAAATGAAGACATTAATTAGATGATAATTTCTAGTTTTCTTAAGGCATCCGCCCAAAGAGAAACTTATGTAATTTTAACAAGCCCCAAAAAGTTCGCGCAGAGCTCTAAGGTCAGCAACTTACATGAAGAAATAGACAGGGAGGACCCCACCCTTTTATCAAACAATCATTGGCTATTAGCACTTGATCATCACATTGATTGGTTTTTACATTACTTTTCCTTTTATGGGTAGATGGTCCTTCTGTCCAGTAATTGTAACACACCTTTGCCTCAGTTCAGAAACAATTCTCCAAATAAGGTAATAAAACATATCATGCAGGTCTCTCTAACTCATGTTAGTATAATCCTTTAAATGTTTAACGCATAAAGGCCAAACATAGTAGGCCACACTTCTCAAACAAAATAAATGAACATCTCTTCTCTTACATAATCTTAAAAGCATGCACAAATGAAAGTCTGTTTTAAATGTATCACTCCAAATGCAGAATACTTTAAATTAATTCATGTCAACACTCATTCTATTCTCCTCATCTCTTTCTGACTTCAAAAGCCTCCCCTGCTCCTATAGTCACAAAATGAAGATGCTTGTCTCTTCACAACTGTTGATGTCACATTAGTAAAAAGTGCCTTCTTTGATGATCAAACCAATTATTCATCATCAGGGGATACATAATATGGATAAAATATGTTATCTCAAAAAACAAGTTTTAAAATGTATTAATGAATATTATAAATTCAAACAATATGGATTTAAAAAATGAAAACTCTTGACACTCTTCTTATTTTCACACCTCATTTCACGCCTTTACTCATGTGTGTGAGATATTCGTTTTTAATCAGAAGGGTCGAATTGCCAGCAAGAGCGGACTTTCACTTCGTCTTTACTGGATCAACATCTAATCTGAAATGTGATCATGTACAACCATGGGTCTCTGGAGGCCAAGCAAGAGTCAGAACACAAAAGACTGCGACGACACATTAAAAAAATATTATTAAAATATAAAACAGTATATCAAGGAAAACATCTTTCTTACTTTAATTTTGTACTTCTGCAATCTGAGCTAAGAAGTCAACAATTATCAGTCTTAAAACACAGTTAAAGAGTTAAAGCACGGGTGATTTTACTATATGGCTTGTATATGTCTCAGGCAGTCAAACAGTATCTATGAAGGCCCCCCAAGAACCAGAACCAATTGCTTCCAGTGTCCTTTTCTTCACATTTATCTCATTGTCTCAACAGTACACTACTAATAAGATGTGAAGTGCTTTGTGATTTTACCCACCTGAAAAAACAACTTAAAATATAGTTAAAGAATGGGTTGGCTGGCCCTGAGTGGCTGGATAACTGTCAACAGAAGAAGCAGCACATAGGTTGCCCACAAGCATTCTAAAGCCTTTCATTCTTAAACGGCAATGTATACCGTGTGTTAGATGATATACATGTATGTACAACAGCATACACGCTTTTTCATTCATGAAATCAAGATAATTCATCTGCTTTTACCACAAATGTTAACAAAACTTTTAATAATCAGAAGGAATGAAGGAACAAAAAAAATCTAAATGCTAGCATGGCTGAAAACTCTTAGTCTTGTTAGACTGTATTGGGTATTTTAAACTTTGTAATCTTTTAAACACCTCAAATTTATCCACTCAGTGTTTATTGGATACAGGCTTCATCAGTCCACTTTTCATTCAGCAATGCTGTCAGTACTTACATGTGCATACTAATGTAAGTGCTTTTTGTCTTCATCCCAGGCAAGGCAAGACAGGATAAGTGCTGATTTACAACAGAAAATCCAGATGAGACAACAAAAGATTGCTGAAGTCAGATCCTCTGTAAAGGCCAGCAAGGTAACCTGCAGCAGGTTTTTTAAACTTTTTAATTTTGGTTTTGATAAATATTTTTTTAACATCGTCACTGTCTATTGCTCCTTTCAGGGCAGCTTGGATACTGAATGGCTGGAGATCAACAATGTGTTCTCAGAGGTGGCGAGAGTGGTGGAGGACGCTCGGCAGAAAGCCCTTCAACCTCTCGAGGAGAGGTCGGTATAAACCAGTAACTGTGATATACAGTGCTGTGAAAAAGTCTTTGCTCCTTTCCTTTGTCACACCAAAATATTTCAGATCATCAAACAATTTTTAATATAAACAACCTTTTTTTTGGAAAGCTGGGTTCAATTTAATTTGCCACACCCAGGCCTGCTTACTGCCAGACCTGTTGAATCATCAAAATATAACATTTCTGACAAAGTGAAGTAGGCTAAAAGATCTGAAAAAGCAACACATCACATCCCATGATATAAAGAAACAGATGAGAAACAAAGTTGTTTACACCTATCAGTCTAGGAAGAGTTACAATTGCCATTTCTAAGGCTTTGGGACTCCAGCAAACCACGGTGAGAGCCATGATCCACAAATAGAGAAAACTTGGAACAGTGGTGAGCCTTCCCACGAGTGGCCAGCCTACCAAAATTACTCCAAGAGCGCATCAACAACAGTTAAGATCAGTGTCCATGATTCAACAATAAGAAAGAGACTGGGCAAAAATGGCATCTGTGGGAGAGTTTCAAGGCGGAAACCACTGCTGAAATACATCTTAATGATCCCCAAGACTTTAAGGAAAATATTTTGTGAAATGACGAGACAAATGTTTAACTTTTTGAAAGGTGTGCGTCCTGTTAAATCTAGCGTAAAATCAACACAGCATTTAATAAAAAGAACATCATATCAGCAGTCAAACATGGCCGTGGTAGTGTGATGTTCTGGGGCTGCTTTGCTGCTTCATGACCTGGACGACTTGCTATAATTGATGGAACCATGAATTCTGCTCTCTACCTCAAGTACAAGTGCACTCACAATTTTCTGAAACACATCAGCAAGTCCACCTCTGAATGGCTCAAAAAACAAAACAAAATGAAGCTTTTGGAGTGGCCTAGTCAAAGTCCAGATTTAAATCCAATTGGGATAGTGTGGCATGACCTTAAACAGGCAGTTCATGCTTATTAAACTGCCTAATGTACTGTACATTATTTTTAGGAGACAGATCCTAAAGAGAGAAGCACGAGATCTGGTCCAGAAACTGCAAAAGGAAATTGACAAACTCAAAAAGACCATTGATGTGTTGGACAAAAATCCAGATTTGCAGGTGAGCCCGAGACTCTGACATCCAAACCTCTGGCCTTTTTATCATTTATGTAAGTCATAATGCTTCTACTCTGCTGCAGGTCAGACAATATCAGATCTAGGGGAAGCTAAACCAGTATAATTACTGTTTTGTGCTCCAAGAAGACATCTACATTGCTGAAATAAAGCCTCAACATTTACGTTCACGTTCATTGCAAGTTAAAAATATCATCAACAAGTCTGTATATTTCAGATTAATTCAAATCATTTTATATACTGACAATGTCACATTTCTCCCTTACACACACTCTCTCTCACACACACACACAGGTTTCTCTTCTAACAGGCCTGGATGAATCTCGGGATTGGAATAATGTAGCTGTTGACACTTCATTCTCCTTTGGTACACTAAGAACTACAACATCAAACATGATGGAGCAAATTCACCAGAAATTAGAAAATCTCTCTTCCGTTGGTGAGTACACCTGAAATTTATAAAGGTCAGTATTTAATTTATAGTCACTTGTTTTAATATGATTTACTTTTTCACAGAACTCAAGAGGATCCCCACATTTGCAGGTGTGTGACTCAAAACTTGAATCTTTAAACAGGATAAAATGGTGATTTTTCCACATTTTGACTCTAGATATCAGACTGTATGCTATGTAGATGTTCTAGACTAAAGACATTACAAAGGAAGGCAATTCACCTGCCTGAAGGCAAAGCTCAAGACCCTTTGAAATAAACATAAGATGACTGTTTTTTTTTTTAAATCATGTCTGAGTTCTGATATTATTGTCTGATCCACAGTTAGATGTGGAAATGTTTAGTCTGTTACGAGTGTTTTTCAGATAGAGCCTAGTATTTTGTAACATTTTATAAAAATATTTGGAGTACATATTGCCAGATGCTGAGAAGTTGTCCAGGAGCTGTTACAAAATTGTTTAAAAAACTAAATTTCTAGATAATTGAAATTGACCTCAATATTTATTATTACAGAGTCTACAGATTTCCAGTTTTCTAAAACAAAATGTGGCAAATGAAAAGAGCAGCAACATCTCTCTGTGATGCATGCAGAAGCCACAATAAACCTTGCTAGGTTCCTTAATTTATCAGTAACACTCTACTACTATGTTTTCATGCTTTTATCTTGTAGTGTTTTTTGTATTATTGTCTTTACACTTGTTAAAGTACTTTGTAACTTGTTTTTGAAAAGTGCTCTACAAATAAGGATTATTATTATTATTATTACTTCCCATAAAAAGTTATCAGTAAACAAAAGAAGAAGAAACTCATGAAGCAACATGAGTGCACTTTGCATGTTTTTGAAAGGTTGCAACACATGGCATTCTGTTGAATTCCAAGTGTTGTAATGATAATTGCAAACATTACTACACCACTGGTCAGTTGTTTGGCCTGAATTAATTCATGCTTTTTCATGCATGAAATCAAGATAATTTATGTAACCCTGCCACAAAGTGTCACAGAAAGTAGTCAGTCAGAAGAGACAGCAGGGGAAAAATCTTAAACATTAGGCTTCATGATCAGAGACAGTTTTTATATCACGTCCATATTCCCCTCTCTGCTGTGAGTCTCCCATTCAATCAGTCAATTGATGGTTTTACTAACGGCCATTCATCCGCCATTATAATAGCAAAGCCTTCATAAATGAGTCCAATCAATGCCGGTTTCAAACTTTTAAGAACAATTTGAAAATGTTTTACCAGGAAGAAATGAATTCTTCGTGTTTGTTAGACGTCAAGGATATATGCAGTGACATTTGTCTGTGCCTTTCAGTTGTAACTGTTTCTAATCAATGCTATCCTTAAGTTTTTTTTAGGTTTCCAGAAACATGGTTTGAAATCATGGTAGTTAAAATGACTAAGTTTTTATATATTTAGGCGTTTTTCATCGACACCGAAAGGTCTCTCTATGTAGTGCAACATGATTCTATTTCCATTATTCTATTGTTTTCTGTTCAACTGCAGTGGATGTAAAGCTGGACCCAACCACTGCACATCGATGCCTTGTTCTTTCTGCCGATGGGAAGAAAGTGAGGGATGGAGCAAAGAACCAGAAAGTTCCTGATGCTCCAGAGAGGTTTGACATGTTTGGCAGCGTCCTTGGGCTCAACAGGTTGTCCTCTGGAAAGTCATACTGGGAGGTGGATGTCAGTAAAAAGACAGGATGGGATCTGGGTGTGGCAAGACGTGATGCAAACCGCAAAGGGAAACTCTCGCTGACCCCAGATAATGGTTACTGGGTTACTGTACATTATGAAGATGAAAAGTACGCAGCCCTGACAGCACCACCCGTCAGCCTGTCCCTGACAGTGAAACCTCAGAAGGTGGGAGTGTTTGTGGATTACGAGGAAGGTCTTGTGTCCTTCTACGATGTGACGGCTCAATCTCACTTCTACTCGTTTACTGAGTGTTCGTTCAGTGGTGAAGTTTTCCCATATTTCAGTCCACATCTTATTCAAAATGAGTTGAACTCTGATCCCCTGATTATCTCTGATGTGAAAAAGCCGTAGGAGTTATATGAAGTGTTACTGGTGCACTGAAAGTTATAATGCAACAATCAATGTGAGTTTGAGGTGTACAGTAACATTATACTGTTAAATGATTTCATGACCACTGAAGGGTTTTCTGGCCTGGTCAACATCGGAGATTGTTTTTCAAGTTTAGACATTCTTTTCTTTTTTCTTAAACAAGACATTCTTAATCATCCGTAGATGAAGACTTTATGAGTTTGGGTTTTGTTTAATGTTAATTTTTGTGTGCTATATATGTGTAAGAGATTGCTGGCATTTTTCAAAATGTATCTACGTCAAAATGTATGTATGTGTGTAATTCCTCACCGTTTCAAACAATGTGTTTATATCTATAGTTTGCTCTTTACTGTTATTCATCTATAGCTCATATCGGCATTAGGCGGACACTCTTTCCACTTTCTGGTTTTAACTCAGACACTTTTATACCTGTTTAACACTTTGTGAATAGACAACGTGAATATAACTGTTACTTGGGAAATATTTTCTATATTTTTTTCAAAATTCTTTTTCAGTGTTTTTAATGATTTTGGTCAAAATAAAATAATAAAATATGTTTGAAACTGTATGTGTTGATGTAATTGAAAGCCACAGTTACACCAACTCTGTCTTTTATCACATCAGTTTCAGAAGTTCTTGCTTTCTCTTGGCCTGGCATTTTCTCTGAAGTTTCCAGACCATCCACCCTTAACTTTTAAAGTTTCTAGCCTTTACAGTATACAGTATGCCAGGTCCATGAGCAAGTAGTGTCTTCACAAACACTCATTTACACTCCTCACTCACACATAAACATAATTTAGTGATGGTGAGTGATCTGATACATGCTGCAACAGTTCTCTTTACCTTCTGCATGATTGTGTGTGTTGAAATAGTCTGAGACTCCTTTTTCTGAAAAGAAGAGTTGTCATAAATTCCTTTCCAGAGATGTGAAAGACTCATTGCGAATGACGGAAAACTCTTGATGGCAGTTGTTCCTGCCAAGAGTGGCACAACCAGTTATTAGGTTTAGGGTGCAATTACTTTTTCACATAGGGCCAGGTAGGTTTGGATAGCTTTTTTCCCATAATAAATAAAATCCTCTTGTAAAAACGGCTTTTTGTATTTACTCCGGTTATATTTGTCTAAAACTAAAATGTTTTGATGATCTGAAACATTTCAGTGTGACAAAGATGCAAAACACTAAGAAATCAGTAAGGGGGCAAACACATTTTCACACCACTGTAACAACAACTCCACAGTTAGTGAGTCATCAGTGATAAGAATGTACTGTATGCAGTCATGGTACTTTACATTTTATTAAACTGCCTAATGTACTGTACATTATTTTTAGGAGACAGACCCTAAAGAGAGAAGCACGAGATCTGGTCCAGAAACTACAAAAGGAAATTGACGAACTCAAAAAGACCATTGATGTGTTGGACAAAAATCCAGATTTGCGGGTGAGCCCGGGACTCTGACATCCAGACCTCTGGCCTTTTTATCATTTATGTAAGTCATAATGCTTCTACTCTGCTGCAGGTCAGGCAATATCAGATCTAGGGGAAGCTAAACCAGTATAATTACTTTTTTGTGCTCCAAGAAGACATCTACATTGCTGAAATAAAGCCTCAACATTTACGTTCACGTTCATTGCAAGTTAAATATATCATCAACAAGTCTGTATATTTCAGATTAATTCAAATCATTTTATATACTGACAATGTCACATTTCTCCCTTACACACACTCTCTCTCACACACACACAGGTTTCTCTTCTAACAGGCCTGGATGAATCTCGGGATTGGAATAATGTAGCTGTTGACACTTCATTCACCTTTGGTACACTAAGAACTACAACATCAAACATGATGGAGCAAATTCACCAGAAATTAGAAAATCTCTCTTCCGTTGGTGAGTACACCTGAAATTTATAAAGGTCAGTATTTAATTTATAGTCACTTGTTTTAATATGATTTACTTTTTCACAGAACTCAAGAGGATCCCCACATTTGCAGGTGTGTGACTCAAAACTTGAATCTTTAAACAGGATAAAATGGTGATTTTTCCACATTTTGACTCTAGATATCAGACTGTATGCTATGTAGATGTTCTAGACTAAAGACATTACAAAGGAAGGCAATTCACCTGCCTGAAGGCAAAGCTCAAGACCCTTTGAAATAAACATAAGATGACTGTTTTTTTTTTAAATCATGTCTGAGTTCTGATATTATTGTCTGATCCACAGTTAGATGTGGAAATGTTTAGTCTGTTACGAGTGTTTTTCAGATAGAGCCTAGTATTTTGTAACATTTTATAAAAAATATTTGGAGTACATATTGCCAGATGCTGAGAAGTTGTCCAGGAGCTGTTACAAAATTGTTTAAAAAACTAAATTTCTAGACAATTGAAATTGACCTCAATATTTATTATTACAGAGTCTACAGATTTCCAGTTTTCTAAAACAAAATGTGGCAAATGAAAAGAGCAGCAACATCTCTCTGTGATGCATGCAGAAGCCACAATAAACCTTGCTAGGTTCCTTAATTTATCAGTAACACTCTACTACTATGTTTTCATGCTTTTATCTTGTAGTGTTTTTTGTATTATTGTCTTTACACTTGTTAAAGTACTTTGTAACTTGTTTTTTTAAAAAGTGCTCTACAAATAAGGATTATTATTATTATTATTATTACTTCCCATAAAAAGTTATCAGTAAACAAAAAGAAGAAGAAACTCATGAAGCAACATGAGTGCACTTTGCATGTTTTTGAAAGGTTGCAACACATGGCATTCTGTTGAATTCCAAGTGTTGTAATGATAATTGCAAACATTACTACACCACTGGTCAGTTGTTTGGCCTGAATTAATTCATGCTTTTTCATGCATGAAATCAAGGTGGGAGTGTTTGTGGATTACGAGGAAGGTCTTGTGTCCTTCTACGATGTGACGGCTCAATCTCACTTCTACTCGTTTACTGAGTGTTCGTTCAGTGGTGAAGTTTTCCCATATTTCAGTCCACATCTTATTCAAAATGAGTTAAACTCTGATCCCCTGATTATCTCTGATGTGAAAAAGCCGTAGGAGTTATATGAAGTGTTACTGGTGCACTGAAAGTTATAATGCAACAATCAATGTGAGTTTGAGGTGTACAGTAACATTATACTGTTAAATGATTTCATGACCACTGAAGGGTTTTCTGGCCTGGTCAACATCGGAGATTGTTTTTCAAGTTTAGACATTCTTTTCTTTTTTCTTAAACAAGACATTCTTAATCATCCGTAGACGACTTTATGAGTTTGGGTTTTGTTTAATGTTAATTTTTGTGTGCTATATATGTGTAAGAGATTGCTGGCATTTTTCAAAATGTATCTACGTCAAAATGTATGTATGCGTGTAATTCCTCACCATTTTAAACAATGTGTTTATATCTATAGTTTGCTCTTTACTGTTATTCATCTATAGCTCATATCGGCATTAGGACTCAGGATACTCAGACAAAAAACTAAATTTCTAGATAATTGCAAAATCTCTCTGTGATGCATGCAGAAGCCACAATAAACCTTGCTAGGTTCCTTAATTTATCAGTAACACTCTACCACTTCCCATAAAAAGTTATCAGTAAACAAAAAGAAGAAGAAACTCAGGTTAGGGACAGGTCAATGAAGCAACATGAGTGCACTTTGCATGTTTTTGAAAGGTTGCAACACATGGCAGTCTGTTGAATTCCAAGTGTTGTAATGATAATTGCAAACATTACTACACCACTGGTCAGTTGTTTGGCCTGAATTAATTCATGCTTTTTCATGCATGAAATCAAGATAATTTATGTAACCCTGCCACAAAGTGTCACAGAAAGTAGTCAGTCAGAAGAGACAGCGGGGGAAAAATCTTAAACATTAGGCTTCATGATCAGAGACAGTTTTTATATCACGTCCATATTCCCCTCTCTGCTGTGAGTCTCCCATTCAATCAGTCAATTGATGGTTTTACTAACGGCCGTTCATCCGCCATTATAATAGCAAAGCCTTCATAAATGAGCCCAATCAATGCCGGTTTCAAACTTTTAAGAACAATTTGAAAATGTTTTACCAGGAAGAAATGAATTCTTCGTGTTTGTTAGACGTCAAGGATATATGCAGTGACATTTGTCTGTGCCTTTCAGTTGTAACTGTTTCTAATCAATGCTATCCTTAAGTTTTTTTTAGGTTTCCAGAAACATGGTTTGAAATCATGGTAGTTAAAATGACTAAGTTTTTATATATTTAGGCGTTTTTCATCGACACCGAAAGGTCTCTCTATGTAGTGCAACATGATTCTATTTCCATTATTCTATTGTTTTCTGTTCAACTGCAGTGGATGTAAAGCTGGACCCAACCACTGCACATCGATGCCTTGTTCTTTCTGCCGATGGGAAGAAAGTGAGGGATGGAGCAAAGAACCAGAAAGTTCCTGATGCTCCAGAGAGGTTTGACATGTTTGGCAGCGTCCTTGGGCTCAACAGGTTGTCCTCTGGAAAGTCATACTGGGAGGTGGATGTCAGTAAAAAGACAGGATGGGATCTGGGTGTGGCAAGACGTGATGCAAACCGCAAAGGGAAACTCTCGCTGACCCCAGATAATGGTTACTGGGTTACTGTACATTATGAAGATGAAAAGTACGCAGCCCTGACAGCACCACCCGTCAGCCTGTCCCTGACAGTGAAACCTCAGAAGGTGGGAGTGTTTGTGGATTACGAGGAAGGTCTTGTGTCCTTCTACGATGTGACGGCTCAATCTCACTTCTACTCGTTTACTGAGTGTTCGTTCAGTGGTGAAGTTTTCCCATATTTCAGTCCACATCTTATTCAAAATGAGTTAAACTCTGATCCCCTGATTATCTCTGATGTGAAAAAGCCGTAGGAGTTATATGAAGTGTTACTGGTGCACTGAAAGTTATAATGCAACAATCAATGTGAGTTTGAGGTGTACAGTAACATTATACTGTTAAATGATTTCATGACCACTGAAGGGTTTTCTGGCCTGGTCAACATCGGAGATTGTTTTTCAAGTTTAGACATTCTTTTCTTTTTTCTTAAACAAGACATTCTTAATCATCCGTAGATGAAGACTTTATGAGTTTGGGTTTGTTTAATGTTAATTTTTGTGTGCTATATATGTGTAAGAGATTGCTGGCATTTTTCAAAATGTATCTACGTCAAAATGTATGTGTGTAATTCCTCACCGTTTCAAACAATGTGTTTATATCTATAGTTTGCTCTTTACTGTTATTCATCTATAGCTCATATCGGCATTAGGCGGACACTCTTTCCACTTTCTGGTTTTAACTCAGACACTTTTATACCTGTTTAACACTTTGTGAATAGACAACGTGAATATAACTGTTACTTGGGAAATATTTTCTATATTTTTTTCAAAATTCTTTTTCAGTGTTTTTAATGATTTTGGTCAAAATAAAATAATAAAATATGTTTGAAACTGTATGTGTTGATGTAATTGAAAGCCACAGTTACACCAACTCTGTCTTTTATCACATCAGTTTCAGAAGTTCTTGCTTTCTCTTGGCCTGGCATTTTCTCTGAAGTTTCCAGACCATCCACCCTTAACTTTTAAAGTTTCTAGCCTTTACAGTATACAGTATGCCAGGTCCATGAGCAAGTAGCGTCTTCACAAACACTCATTTACACTCCTCACTCACACATAAACATAATTTAGTGATGGTGAGTGGTCTGATACATGCTGCAACAGTTCTCTTTACCTTCTGCATGATTGTGTGTGTTGAAATAGTCTGAGACTCCTTTTTCTGAAAAGAAGAGTTGTCATAAATTCCTTTCCAGAGATGTGAAAGACTCATTGCGAATGACGGAAAACTCTTGATGGCAGTTGTTCCTGCCAAGAGTGGCACAACCAGTTATTAGGTTTAGGGTGCAATTACTTTTTCACATAGGGCCAGGTAGGTTTGGATAGCTTTTTTCCCATAATAAATAAAATCCTCTTGTAAAAACGGCTTTTTGTATTTACTCCGGTTATATTTGTCTAAAACTAAAATGTTTTGATGATCTGAAACATTTCAGTGTGACAAAGATGCAAAACACTAAGAAATCAGTAAGGGGGCAAACACATTTTCACACCACTGTAACAACAACTCCACAGTTAGTGAGTCATCAGTGATAAGAATGTACTGTATGCAGTCATGGTACTTTACATTTTATTAAACTGCCTAATGTACTGTACATTATTTTTAGGAGACAGATCCTAAAGAGAGAAGCACGAGATCTGGTCCAGAAACTACAAAAGGAAATTGACGAACTCAAAAAGACCATTGATGTGTTGGACAAAAATCCAGATTTGCGGGTGAGCCCGGGACTCTGACATCCAGACCTCTGGCCTTTTTATCATTTATGTAAGTCATAATGCTTCTACTCTGCTGCAGGTCAGGCAATATCAGATCTAGGGGAAGCTAAACCAGTATAATTACTTTTTTGTGCTCCAAGAAGACATCTACATTGCTGAAATAAAGCCTCAACATTTACGTTCACGTTCATTGCAAGTTAAATATATCATCAACAAGTCTGTATATTTCAGATTAATTCAAATCATTTTATATACTGACAATGTCACATTTCTCCCTTACACACACTCTCTCTCACACACACACACAGGTTTCTCTTCTAACAGGCCTGGATGAATCTCGGGATTGGAATAATGTAGCTGTTGACACTTCATTCACCTTTGGTACACTAAGAACTACAACATCAAACATGATGGAGCAAATTCACCAGAAATTAGAAAATCTCTCTTCCGTTGGTGAGTACACCTGAAATTTATAAAGGTCAGTATTTAATTTATAGTCACTTGTTTTAATATGATTTACTTTTTCACAGAACTCAAGAGGATCCCCACATTTGCAGGTGTGTGACTCAAAACTTGAATCTTTAAACAGGATAAAATGGTGATTTTTCCACATTTTGACTCTAGATATCAGACTGTATGCTATGTAGATGTTCTAGACTAAAGACATTACAAAGGAAGGCAATTCACCTGCCTGAAGGCAAAGCTCAAGACCCTTTGAAATAAACATAAGATGACTGTTTTTTTTTTTAAATCATGTCTGAGTTCTGATATTATTGTCTGATCCACAGTTAGATGTGGAAATGTTTAGTCTGTTACGAGTGTTTTTCAGATAGAGCCTAGTATTTTGTAACATTTTATAAAAAATATTTGGAGTACATATTGCCAGATGCTGAGAAGTTGTCCAGGAGCTGTTACAAAATTGTTTAAAAAACTAAATTTCTAGACAATTGAAATTGACCTCAATATTTATTATTACAGAGTCTACAGATTTCCAGTTTTCTAAAACAAAATGTGGCAAATGAAAAGAGCAGCAACATCTCTCTGTGATGCATGCAGAAGCCACAATAAACCTTGCTAGGTTCCTTAATTTATCAGTAACACTCTACTACTATGTTTTCATGCTTTTATCTTGTAGTGTTTTTTGTATTATTGTCTTTACACTTGTTAAAGTACTTTGTAACTTGTTTTTTTAAAAAGTGCTCTACAAATAAGGATTATTATTATTATTATTATTACTTCCCATAAAAAGTTATCAGTAAACAAAAAGAAGAAGAAACTCATGAAGCAACATGAGTGCACTTTGCATGTTTTTGAAAGGTTGCAACACATGGCATTCTGTTGAATTCCAAGTGTTGTAATGATAATTGCAAACATTACTACACCACTGGTCAGTTGTTTGGCCTGAATTAATTCATGCTTTTTCATGCATGAAATCAAGGTGGGAGTGTTTGTGGATTACGAGGAAGGTCTTGTGTCCTTCTACGATGTGACGGCTCAATCTCACTTCTACTCGTTTACTGAGTGTTCGTTCAGTGGTGAAGTTTTCCCATATTTCAGTCCACATCTTATTCAAAATGAGTTAAACTCTGATCCCCTGATTATCTCTGATGTGAAAAAGCCGTAGGAGTTATATGAAGTGTTACTGGTGCACTGAAAGTTATAATGCAACAATCAATGTGAGTTTGAGGTGTACAGTAACATTTTACTGTTAAATGATTTCATGACCACTGAAGGGTTTTCTGGCCTGGTCAACATCGGAGATTGTTTTTCAAGTTTAGACATTCTTTTCTTTTTTCTTAAACAAGACATTCTTAATCATCCGTAGATGAAGACTTTATGAGTTTGGGTTTTGTTTAATGTTAATTTTTGTGCGCTATATATGTGTAAGAGATTGCTGGCATTTTTCAAAATGTATCTACATCAAAATGTATGTATGCGTGTAATTCCTCACCGTTTTAAACAATATATAATTATATCTATAGTTTGTTCTTTACTGTTATTCATCTATAGCTCATATCGGCATTAGGCGGACACTCTTTCCACTTTCTGGTTTTAACTCAGTTTTACAGACACCTTTATACCTGTTCAACAATTTGTGAATAGACATTGTGAATATAACTGTTCCTTGGGAAATATTCCATATTCTTTTTCAGTGTTTTTAATGATTTTGGTAAAATAAAATAATAAAACATGTTTGAAACTGTATGTGTTGATGTAACTGAAAGCCACAGTTACACCTACTCTGTCTTTTCTCACATCGCTTTCTCTTGGCCAGCCATAGCTTTTATGTTGTGTTTTTTGTTTTGGGTGTTTTTTTTGTTTTGTTTTCGAAATTCAAAAATTACTTTTAAAACTTTCTCCACTGTTGCGTCAAGAGCCAAAAATTCAAAGTTTCTAGGTGAATGTGTACAGTTTGAGAAATTTGAAGAAGATCTGCTCTGCTTCCTAACCTAGGAGTCTGGATTTCTAAAATAAGTCTGAGTGGTCACAAGAAGATAATAAAATTAAGAAAGACAAAGTACACTCCTGGAAATATTATAATAAAATAATCTGTGAAGGAAACATCACTCTTTTGTTGAATTGCGCACAACGTGTAGACATTATGCAACCTGATGTGGGGTCAAGAGTAAGCATTGCTCTGACATTGTTTTGGTTTTTGTTTGGGCCTAAAATGATTGGTTGTGATCGAATGTTCACAAGACATGGGGGGGGTTTAAATAGGAAGCATTCTTTCAAAACTTCAACATCAGCTGATGTTGATCCCCTCCAGACTAACACAGTAACAAAGAAAGGTAAGAAAACATCTCTCTCTATCTGTCAAATCAATTTAATGCATTTTGAACCTGTACAAATCATATGGAGTATTTTTCTGTAGTGTCTTGTCCACTGAAAATGCTGTGGAAACCTAAAAAGTTCATTCATTCAAACCTTTATTTATCCAGGATAAAAAAACTCCTTGAGATTAAAAATCTCTTCTACAAGAGTGTCCTGGCAAGTGGCAGCAGTGCAGTTACAAATAGATACAGAGACACTTACAGTTAAATATATAGACACACTTTCACTCATCATATTCAAACAACAATGACATTAAAAAAAACAAACAAAAAAAACAGTATACAGTATGCCAGGTTCAGATGAAGATGATAGTAGATACATATACTAACTAACATTACAATACCTAATATTCCAGTAACAACCAAGAACATGTTCACTGCTACAGTTCAGTACTGAGTTTGTGAAAAGATGGAATAATTGTGGACTAATTTTTAATTTAGAAAAGTTCACTCATCATCAGTCCTGTAAATCTATATATGACAGTAGTATCAAAGATACTAGATGTGAGGCCCAATATAGAGAACTAACACAAGACTTATGGTGGGACTACATCAGACACACAAGAGTAGCCAAAGACAAAAGACTGTATATAAAATATCAAAACACTATCTCAAAAAGTTTCAGGCCAGTGTGATTATGATTATTTTCATAACTCATTCTAGACAAAATGAACGTCATCCTCCTGACTGCCATGATCTTCACTGTAGCCCTTGCTTACAATGGGCAAGGAGCGTTTTCTAAAGGCAAGACCAGCAACTTGGCACCCTTTGTACTGCCCTGTCAGATGACGACAAACAACCAAAGATACAATGAATTTCTCCAGAGACACATCCTTGATGACTACTTCGACTATAGTTCTCCACAGGATTGGCAAAGGTGAATTACAAGTTTAATTCAATTATTTCATTTGGAAAGAATAAGTAAATGTTGCTTTTTTGCGGTAAAATGTGATTCCTCCTAATTCTACAATATATCAGTGCTATATTTGACTCTGGATGCAACATAAGTATGGTTTTCTAAATAGTTAACATCCACTGCCATCTGAGTAATCTGATTCTGACTCTGATTGCATGAGCTGCAGCTTGTTTTATCACATTCATTTTCTCATTTTGAAATCTGTGTTCTCAGCAGGTTAATTTTCACTGTGTTGTACTATCCACATGCAATGATGTTGGACAATCTACTTTAATACTCTTTAATAACTCATATATTATATATATAATATATTTTGTGCATGTTAGAGTTAAGGTTTAGGTTAGGTTTTCAAACCTGCGTCGTTCAGTCCAGTTAAAGTATGCTGCCTTTTAAAATTTTCAGGATCTTCTTCCAGTGTTTACTTTCTTGCTCTCGTCCCAGACTCTTCTAACCAGTGAGTGAAGCCAAAGTTCTCACGTGGTGTTTAGTGATGCATTATACTTCACATTAATATCTTTCTGTGTGAAAAGACACCAAACAAGGTAGAAAATGTAACAAGTTTAACAAGTCATCCGTTGATTCGTACCACAGGGAACAAACTAGGTTGAAAATGTCCACAGTCAACAGCAGGAACATGTGGCAATGTGACAGCTAAAAGTTGGACTCAAAACTATGCAGTAAAACATTGATCTCATTACACAGGTACCTAGTGAAGAAGAGACTCTGTGGCAGAACTCCAGTGCAGTCTTTCATCAAAGCTGCTGCAAGCCAAGTTGATCAGATCTGTAGAGGTGGTGGACGGCAAGTACGAGGTGCTACTGGACCGAATGGTAACTTGTGCATCAGCAACTCAGTCCTGACTGTATATGATGTTTGCTCCAATATGAGTGGAAGTGTTTGCAAAGTTTCATCTGCAAAACGTCGCCAACACAAGGTGGTTGTTGCATGTGACAAAGTTGAAAACATCTGTCGCCCTGTCCATTATCAGAGATACAGCAATCAACAGCCAGGCAATGTTGTCTGCAAGTAAACTAAGAGAAATTAGTTTACTGGCAGATTTTTGGAGCATTAATATGTAATTCATTCCAGCTGTCGGGCTTATTATTCTGTGACTTTTTTAACCAATATTTGAAACTTACATTAGAAATTACCACTTTCCCACACGCATAGTCATTTAAATACCACAAATAAGTCCACGACATTTGCAGTTTATTTTCAATAGGACATTGTTGTTTATTATAGTAAGTTTTTCATCAAGTGCTTTCCTAAATTGTTCCTTTTAACTGCATTTTTTTCCTTTAAGAGATTCTGTTTGGCATTTCACACTGAAACAAATATCATGAACTTCCAAATTTATGCCTAAAGTGGATTTAATCAGCTGTCGGGCTTATTATTCTGTGGCATTGACACTCTCAGGCAGAGCTAGATGATTTTGCCTCTTATAATATAAAGACATTTTGACCTGCCTTCTTGATCATGAACTTCCAAATTTATGCCTAAAGTGGATTTAATAAATAATCTTTCCCTGTCAATGATTGTTTTTATTATTTAAAATGATGACTTTGATTACTGTAATAACTACTAGTAACTAGTAGTATAATATTTGCACACATTCATTCACTTCTGCTTACACAGTAGCTGCTTTCTCAATACACCACTCTCCTTCTTTCGTTGATATTATTTAGCAGAATGCTGTTCTGATTATTATATGTGTGATGAGAAAATGTTTATGCTCCTATTTGGTACCTGTTATGTTCCTTCGGACAGTAAGTCCCGGGGGAGGAGGAGAGGAACACTGTTTAAAATAAAACCAGGGCAAAAGAGGACAGGAAACCAGAGTGAGGTATGCACAAATATAAAGAGAAATAAAGTGCAAACCTCCAACCAAAAACTACTTTCTCACAAGAAGAAAGTGCAGAAACTCCAGTGACTAAGCAGCAATCAGGCACATCTGCTGCTGCTCACTCAGGCGGCAGAGGCAAGGGGGGAAGGACAACTAGAGAGGCAGCAGAGAGTGAGGAGCAACACAGAACACACAAATATAAAACAAATATATGACCCTATAGGGTCGTAAACGTACCATTTAATGTAAACATGTGTTGTGATTCACAAGTTATTGATAATGCATCATGTTATACCAAGCAAATTAAATGTATAGTAGTATAGTACGCATGTCTATGTTATTTTCCCTTTCATGATTAAAATAAAACAATGTTTGACATTACATTGGTTTTGGTAACTGAAGATCAACATCACACATCACTGAATGCTCCATGCATGAAGTATCAGAATCAGAATCAGCTTTATTGCCAGGTATGTGTACGCATACGAGGAATTTGACTCAGGATTGTACATTTCTCATGATGTGCTTACTCGTACAAAAATACCATAACACAATAATAAAATAAAATCAGACACAAACTACAGTATAGACAACACTAATATACACACTATGAACAAAACAATATAGACATATTGAAATAATCAAATAGTGAGGTGATCACAGTGCAAAGGATGCAAGAGTAAACTATTATTCTCATTATGTACATGTTGAAGGTGGATATGATATACAGGTACACATACACATACATGTACACAGTGTGATGGAGCATAGTGCAAAGACCTATGACCTTATGACCTGAGGTAGGTGTATTGGTATACAGTATATACAATATGACATAGTATGAACAGTACTGAAATAGAGAATGGTGAATAAATAGATAATAAGTGGAAACCAGTAAACAGGTGACTGATTAGAGACAGAGTTACTGGGTTATTGCACAGGAATTGTTCCTGACACTGTGAGTCAGAAATCAGCTGTTCATCAGAGTGATGGCTTGTGGGAAGAAACTGCTTCTGTGTCTGTTGGTTTTGGAGTACAGTGCTCTGTAGCGCCTACAGAGGGGAGGAGCTGGAACAGATTGTGTCCGGGGTGAGATGGATCTGCAGTGATGTTTCCTGCCCGTTTCCTGACTCTGGAAATGTATAAGTACAGAATGGAGGGCAGGTTGGCACCGATTATTTTTTCTGCAGTCCTGACTGTCTGGCCGTAGGCAGGTTGAGTAGTAGTTGTAGCAGTAGTAGTAGTACAGTAGTTAAGAAGTTGTTATATTCAAATAATTTCACTAACTGGATGGGTTGAAGATCATGCTTTTTCCAAGCTGCTATGCTCAATCCTCTTTGTCATTCCTTCACTCAAAGTTCTAAGAAAGGTATGATGAAACCAGATAAAACTAATTTCTCTCTCTCAATAGAAAATAATTCCTCAACTCAAATGACACTTTTTCATTTCATCTTCTAAGACACACTCACCATTGCTATTCAGATAGTGACAATGCAGAAGGCGGGGGCCTTGTCTCACACACAGACTTGAAACATAAGCTGTCAGCTGT